CGCCTGACTGTTGAGTTCGCTTAGTTATGACCAATAGAAGTCTCTCTTCACTACACGCTACTGTTATTTCGGGGCTACAACATTCTCCCCGACCTCTTTTTATCTGACATTTAGTCTTTCATTTACTCTTCATATGAAAACCCTCTTCACTGATGTCGGTTACATTAATATCACACACCTTAAGGCCTAATCTGGCGATTTGTAGATACCTGCATTCTCCCCCTCACTCTTTACTGCTCTCCGGTTATTTTTCCAGCCTAACTTAGAAAAGACTTGCTGATTTTTAAACGTATCCTCCGAATGTTCTCTTCAGCTGCCGCCTATTTAGCTGATATTATAATACAGCGAAACTTTAAAACGGTCAATTTGCTGATCGCATTCTTGAAGAGGTTGCTCATCCACTCCACTCTGAATTAATGGCTGCGAAGTCTTCCCGTACTATGCGCCGAAGCTTCCGACCTATGTCCTGCCGCACATCAGCATACCAGCACTCTCTATTCTCATTCGAGAGGCTGCTATTAGAGCCGTCTCTGTAATACGTGGATTTCATGCAAACCTTTAGATTTTTGAGCGTTTTATTAACCTGTCATTTGATCTCAGTGAATGAAGCCATTTTTGCTGAAATTTTTGGATGTCACCTCAAAAATAAAGCGTATTTTTCTATCTCTCCTAATGCCCTGTTTTCTTGTTTTAGAAATGGAGCAACTTGTGGGACCCCTCAAGGCCGTTCTCCTCGCACGCCCAAAACAAGACTGGGTCAAGCAGGAACTTGATAAGATGGAGGAGTTGAAACGCTGTGCCATTGTGGTGATCGTTGACTTCCGAAACCTCGCCGATATCGGTACCCGCCAGTCTGCCTTTTGCTCGGAAGTTATCTTAACAATTTTCGACCATTGAAGTTTGTATTTACAGTGGAACGTCAGTTAACGAGTTTAATCCGTTCCAGCACCTAGCATTTCATGTGAAGCACTCATCTTGCGAAACGTAGCCAATCAAACTGCGTCAGTTAATTGATTGGCTGCAGGTAACCGAGGGCGCATGCCCTGGGAGCAAAACTCAACGGCGGACACGGGTACACAGAGACACGCAGTGACAAATCTTTAACTGAGCGGAAGCTCGTCAATCAAAGCAAGTTTTCTGCGAGAGGCTCGCCCGTTACATGAAATGCTCGTAGATGGGGCTGCTCGTTACCCGAGATTCCACTTTGAACAGCGATTGTCTGCGCTAATCAACGTGGTCCTACTGTACTTTCAATAACTATGCACTTTTCATATAATTCAGTGAATCTTAGCAAATTCATCCCGAAGGAGATTGCATTTAATACCGGGTGTCGAACGAGTGGCCTTTAGTTGATTGTCGAGAATTTATGTTTATGATACTTCTTACTGGTAACTTTGACCCCCACTACATAAGTACAGTACTTTAGGGTCCACTTCTGACTCTATGAGTTCCCTGAGATCAATTTTATTCTAGTTGGGCAGCTAGGAAATCCATGTATCATTGACGGTTGAAAAGGCATTCTTCATTTTGCCGGTACAAGTGCAAATGTGAGTCCCGGGAGTTATTAGTAAGAGGTAGAAGCAATCGCTGGGACAAGCACTACTAACCTACCCATTCGGATTCCTGTTCGAACCCATCATAAGAAGCGGCATCAGATGCAAGTACTTGTAGGGGTCTAGTGACCTATGCTGCATCGGCCGAGGGGTGGTGTGTTCAAGTGGCGCTTGGGCAGCCGCGGCATTTTGGACACGCGTGTGTGCGCGAAAAGATGTCGGTCAAGGTCTGCATGTCAGCCAGTCGTAAACAGCTGTCGACAAACACTTCAAATGCATACAAAAGACGGGAAGGAGACAATAACATGTAAGTCAAACAAAATTTCAGAGGAGACGGGCTTTAAGGATTCCAAAATTGTTAAACCGAAGATAAAAAAGGTAGGATTTAGGAGTAGAAATTCCAACAACCTAACATTTAGATCGTGGCCCTCCAGTCACAGAATTTTATGTGTATGAAAGACAGCTCGAATAATGGCCTATTTACAGTAGGGACTGTCTGTAGATTAAGTTTGTTCATACACATTGTTTCCTTTTATTCTTGCAGAAAAGAACCGCTACTACCTTGACCTTTTACACACAATTGACTCCGAACGCTCCCTGAAGGCGACTTATGACCAGGTGCTCTCTACGGTTGAGCGCTCAGCACGCGTCTCGCGAGAAAGTATCTCATCTGGCGTGCCCTTCTCCTAACTGCCCTTCGCTCTCCCCCGAGGAGTCGCGTTTCGTGTTTGAACTGACTCCCTACCTCCCCCACCACCCCCTCCCCTCCCCGCTGTTCTCATGACCCCTGACCGTTTTTTGCGCTTGCCTGCGTGGACTCCTGCGTGAAAGGTTT